TGCTATCACTTAGTGAGGAGGACATAAAATATTTATGAAGAAAGATACTTAAAAATGAGACACTTTAGACAATATCGTTGAAAACCAATTAATATTGTTCAAATTGTCCTCCTTGAAAGCATGCTTTGTCTTCCTCCTTTCACCTGGTCTTCATGGTCTAATCTCAATCCTTAAAGCGTAAGAGCGATAGTGAAGGTGTTAGCCTCAGTTAGAACACATCGGGCTGGGCATGGTGTCCCATGTCTGTAATCTTAGCCCCTGGGGAAGCTGAGGTAGGAGGATCACTTGAGCCCAGGAGTTCAAGACCAGCCTGGGCAACATAGCCAGATCCTGTCACATTAAAAAACGAAAAGAACACAACAGTCTTACCTGCTTTAATTTGCAAGCTGTCGATGCCCTTTCTGTCATACATTAGGTAATTCCATGAAAAACTCTCTAAGAGACTGCGTGTGGTAGCTCATGCCTGTAATCTCAGCATTTTGGGAGGCCAAGGTGGGAGGATCTCTTGAGGCCAGGAGTTCGAGACCATCCTTGCCAATGTGGCAAAAACCCACCTCTTCTAAAAATACAAACATAAGCCTTTAGTCGCAGCTACTTGGGAGGCTGAGGCACAAGAATCACTTAAAGCCAGGAGGTGGAGGTTGCAGGGAGCGGAGATCACACCACTGCATTCCAGCCTGGGCAACAGATTGAGACTCGGTCTCAAAAACATCAAAATAAAAGAACGCTCTAAGAATGTTGTAGGAGGCCAGGCATGGTGGCTCACGCCTGTAATCCCAGCACTTTGGGAAGACGAGGTGGGTGGATCGCTTGTCACGAGTTCAATACAAGCCTTGTCCAATAGGGGGAAACCCGTGTCTACTAAAAATACAAAAATTATCCGGGTGTGGTGGTACTTTCCTGTAACCCCAGCTACTTGGGAGGCTGAGGCAGGAGACTCACTTGAACCTGGGAGGTGGAGGTTGCAGTGAGCCGAGATCGTGTCACTGCACTCCAGCCTGGCAACAGAGCACGATTCTGCCTCAAAAGAAAAAAGAATGTTGTGGGAGATGATGACCACCTCATCGTCACCAGGCAAGGTGACGTTTGACTTTTGATGGTGTCAGACACCATCTTTACTAGAATACCCTTGGGGAGCATCAAAATAACTCTGTGTAGTGTTAAGACCTCTCTTCATCCTGTACCTCCTGGTCTGACATAGGAAGTTTCCTTGCCATAGAATTGACTGCAGGCTGAATTCTGCCATAGGACATCTGACTTCTGATGATAGGCATGTTTTTTTAATTCAGGTGATGCAGTTTTCTTTTCTTTTCTTTTTTCTTTTTTTTTTTTTTTGAGACGGAGTTTCGCTCTCGTTACCCAGGCTGGAGTGCAATGGCGCGATCTCGGCTCACCGCAACCTCCGCCTCCTGGGTTCAGGCAATTCTCCTGCCTCAGCCTCCTGAGTAGCTGGGATTACAGGCACGCGCCGCCACGCCCAGCTAATGTTTTGTATTTTTAGTAGAGACGGGGTTTCACCATGTTGGCCAGGATGGTCTCGATCTCTTGACCTCGTGATCCACCCGCCTCGGCCTCCCAAAGTGCTGGGATGACAGGCTTGAGCCACCGCGCCCGGCCTTTCTTAAATAGTGTTCATGGTGTTCCGAGGGAATAAGACTCCAGAGTGACAGCACATTCCAGCTGACCTGTAACAACTTCTCTTTGAGACAAGGCCTGCTCTGTTGCCAAGGCTACCTTCATCGCCTCATACATAGCCTCAGCCTCCGGGCCCCAAATCATCCTCTTGCCTCAGTCTCCCAAAGAGCTGGGATAACAGGTGTGCAGCACTACACCCAGCTCAGCCATAACAGTGTTTGAATGGACACAGGGCAAGTCACAGGGCCCCACTGCCCCTCATCTATGCCCCACTTTTACCAAACAATGTTTTTGGTCATGGCTATCCCACTCAAAGAAGACTTTCTTTTTTTTTTTTTTTTTTTTTAAATACAGGGTCTCCCTGTGTCACCCAGGCTGGAGTGCAGTGATGTGACCTGAACTCACTGCAACCTTCACCTCCCAGTTTCAAGTGATTTTCCCACCTCAGCCTCCCGAGTAGCTGGGATTACAGGCATTCACCACCACATCGGGCTAAATTTTGTATTTTTAGTAGGGGCCGGGTTTCCCCATGTTAGCCAGGCTGGTCTTGAGCTGCTGACCTCAAGTGATCCTCCCACCTTGGCGTTCAAAAGTGCTGGGATTACAGGAATGAGCCACTGAGCTCAACCGAAGAAAACTATTTAGGATGTGTTTTCATGCCAAAGCCGAGTGGTTAAAGGAAGCTGACCCTTTTCTGCTGACCTTTTGAGAAAGGACTCGACCTCCCGCAGAATAAGGGGCGTGACTCTTTGGAAACGCATGGGCTGCTCCGTGATGGTGTGGTTTCTCATCAGAAAGCAATCGGCATGCACGATCAGGGCACCCACAAAATAGGAGGCTGTGAGGAGGAACACAGCCAAGAGGGCTGAGCCGATGACTGGCATCCACGAGACGGATACCAGGCGCGTGAGCTTCCCCGCTGCCAGCGTGAGGGTGGCCAAGGCCAGGACTTGGAAGAGGAAGTGGAGTTTTTGTTCCAGGTTGACACGCTTCTCCGAGAGTTCCCAGCGGGCACAGTCACCCATCATGGAGAAAGGCATTCCGTAGAAAGAGTCAAAGCCGTGGTGGAGGGGGTGGTGGCAATGATCGCTGGCCGACTCACAGTTGAGACCCAGATGCCACTTTCCTGAGAGGCAAAAAGGATGTTGATGTGACAAGCATCCGAGCATAACTGGACATGTAGATATTGACTGTTGGTCACATTCTTGATACTCTGTTAGACACCGGGGGGCCTGGAGATTGCGGAGAGGTGCGGGCAACACAATCTGGCCTCATCGTTTTGGAGAAATGAGGACCCCATGTGGCAGCTTTAGCCGAAATCTTAGTTCCCTGTCACAGGTGGAACAAATTACTGTAAAACTGGTTGCCTAACACAACAGAAATTTATCCTCTCCCAGTCCTAGAGACCAGGAGTCCGAGATTAAAGTGTCTCTGGGCTAGACTCAAATCGGAGGCTCTAGTGGAGGCTCCTTCCAGCCTCTCCCAGCTCCTGAGGGCTCCAGGCATCCCTGCACTCGGGGCCTCCATGTTTCTGTGGCATTGTCCTCTTGTGCGTGTCTGTGACCTAATCTCCTGTCTTATAAAGACAGCAGTCCTCGCAGGAGGCCACATCTTTACCTGATTAAGTCTGCAGTGACTTTGCCGTCAACTGAATCCTGGCCTGCCTCTAATTCATGGGTTGAAGGTCTAACCCCCGGGACCTCAGAACGTGACTGTATTTGGAGACAGGGTGTTCAAAGAGATAATCAAGGTAAAATGATGTCATTCGTTTGGGCCCTGATACAGTGTGGCTGTGTCCCCACCCACATCTCACCTGGAATTGTAATAATCCTCAGGTGTGAAGGGCAGGGCCAGGTGGAGAGAATTGAGTCATGGGCGCGGTTGCCCTCATGCTGTTGTCATGGTAGTGAATCAGTCTCACGAGACCTGACGGTTGTATGAATGGGACTTCCCCTGCACGTGCTCTCTTGCCCGCTGCCGTGTGAGACACGACTTTGCTTCTCCTTGGCCTTCCACCGTGATTGTGAGGCCTTCCCCAGCCGTGTGAAACTGTGAGTCCATTAAACCTCTTTTCTTTATAATTACCCAGTCTCGGGTACGTCTTTATCAGCAGCCTGAGAGCAGACTAATACAGAGCCTAATCTGATAGAATTTGTGTCCTCTAACAAGAAGATGTTAGAACACAGACATATACATACTCTCTCCAGAGGCTCTAGGGGAGGATCCTTCCTGCCTCTCCCAGCTCCTGGGGGCTCCAGGCATCCCTTGGCTTATGGCCACATCACTCCAATTACAACTGCTCTCTCCTCTCTGTGGCCCAATCTTCCTCCACCTTCATCCTAAACGAAGCCTTGTCCTTGCACAGTGGGCCCAGCTGTATAATTCAGGGTCATCTTCTCACCTGAAGATTGTTAACTTAATCACATTTACAAAGAGCCTTCTTTGCATATAAGCTAATATTTGCTAGATTCAGAGGTTAGGGGCTGACATCTCTGGGGACCATGACTTAGTCTACTGTACCTTGCACCACGGGATGCCATCAGCATGGGCCAAAGACTTCGAGACTTCGGAATTATTCTCTCTTTGATAAGCCACTATGACAGCGGCCACGCTTGAAGTGAATGGTGGGTTTCGCAATGCATACCTTTCAAAGTCAGTCAAAGGAATGTAGCCTTTGCTTCTATGCGGTCACTACTACGGTGCTGATGAAGAGAGATGTGTGTCTTCTTACCACCCCAATTCTGTCTGCCATCTGGAAAACCTCATGTTTTCCCAATGAATAACCCATAAGGATAGATTCTTCTGTCTTAGAAAAATTATAGTTGGCCAGGCATGGTGGCTTACAACTGTAATCCCAGCACTTTGGGAGGCTAAAGCGGGAAGACATGCTTGAGCCCAAGAGTTTGAGACCAGCCTGGGTAGCATGGGAAGACCTTGTCTCTACAAAAAAAAAAAAAAAAAAAAAAGTAGAAAAAATTAACCGGGCATGCTGGTGCCAGCCTGTGAGGTCGAGACTGCGGTGAGCTGTGACTGTACCGTTGCCCTCCAGCCTGAGTCACAGAACGAGATCCTGCCTCAAAAAAAAAAAAAAAAAGTCTATTGGAAAAAATGCACCTTCGTTTGACACTGATGACTGAATCTCCCCAGAATTTTTTTTTTTTTTTGGTAAAAAACTAAACAAAAAACATTTTATGATTTTTAACTTTTAGAAATATATAATCTATTGGATTTTATATTCATTGTATCCACTAGTCATAGTGTTTGTTATCAATAAATGGAACTATTAATAAAAATCGTTACTATAACACAATAACGATAATGGTAACTTGGGCTCCTTTCAAGGAACTATTGCCATTAATTTTATTTTGCATCCAATACATGACATGCTTTGTTAACTTGTAGAAAAATAAACATGTTAGTTACGGAAGCCGACAGGGAGTACTAAATCTTGTAAAGACATTTTCATACACACCGAAGGGAAGAATAGGCAGCATTAACACACATTTTTGATAAAATAATATATTGTTTCTTATTTTTTTTATCATGGTCTACCAGAACATTGTATGAAATGCCAAATATTTCATTAAGTTTATATTTCTTTTCTTTCTTTGTTTTCTTTTTTTTCCTTTTTTTTTTTTTGTAGAGTCAGGGTTTCGCCATGCTGCCAAGGCTGGTCTCAAACCCCTGGCCTCAAGCAATTCACCCACTTCGGTTTCCCAAAGTGCTGGGATGACAGGCGTGAGCCACCGTGCCTGACTGGGGTTCTTTTGGTAAGGGCACTAGTCCCACATTTGAGGCTCCACTTTGGAAACCTCATCACCTCCCAAAGGCTTCACCTCCTAACAATATCACCTGGGGGGGTGGGTAAGAGTTTCAACATAGGAATTTGCAGAGGGGACAAAACATTTAGATTGCAGCACTAAACTAGCTAAGTTGATTCATAAACCAACCGTAATAGAGCTGAAGGTGTTCAGTCTGAGACATTAATGTCTAAGACAAAAATTCCACGTGAAGGGTGGGAGAGGATCCCACAGAACAAAGTGGCCACGTGTTGTGCAGTGGAGCTCGGAACATATGCCATAGGCATGAGCACATTTGATTTATTTTTAAATTTCTTCTTCTTATTATTATTATTTTGGTAGAAGTGGGGCCTTGCTATGTTGCCCAGGCTGGTTTCAAACTCATGGGCTCAAGCAGTCCATCCACCTCGGCGTTCAAGGTGCTGGGGTTACAGGCATGAGCCACCTTGCCTGATCTGATATTTCTGGAGTACCTATTTTGCAGCAAACCACCTGGAATGTAACATTGTTCCTAGATATACGCAGCTTTCTGTCTAGTGGAAAATCCCACAGCCCCGCATCCATTTTCCTTTCCAAAGTTTTTAGCTGAATGTCCTTTCCATATAAAGGTCACGTGCTTACCACTTTTAAAAACATACATACCTATGAGTCCAGTAGCATAGCCTTTCTCTTTCAATATTTTTGCAAAAGTCGTCTCATTTGTTGGAAGACCTCCAGGTACTCCGGTCCACTGAAGAACACGGTGGCCAGTGCTGGAAACCATCCCTTTGGGCAATCATTAGGAAAAAGAATTACCGTTACACATTTGTTTTCTGTTTGTTATTTGTTATTTATTTAAAAATAGAATGCTTGGTAAAAATCTCTCTTACTTAAAATGGAATTGAAAATGGACTTCCGACATGGCTTTGCCTTGGGAATTCCAGTTTGGGCAGCAAAGTCAACGATTAATTTATTGAAAACATTACTGAGACGATGGATTTTCCTCTTACATGTAGGTTATAAGGAATGTAATTCAGTGAAAAATAAATAAAAATTAAAAATTATTTTTTGCTTGTTAATTAGTTTACCTAGGGATGGGGTCTTGTTCTGCCATCCAGGCTGGAATGCAGGGGTGTAATCAATGCTCGCTGCAGCCTCGACCACCTGGGCTCAAACAAGCCTCCTGCCTCAGCTACCTGAGTAGCTGAAACTATAGGTGTGCACCACCACACCTGGCTAATTTTTAAATTTTTTGCAGAGATGGGGTCTCACTCTCACCCAGGCTTGAGTGGCAGTGGCATGATTATAGCTCACTGCAGCCTTGAACTCTGGGGCTCAAGCGATCCTCCCACCTCAGCCTCCCAAGTAGCTGGGACTATAGGTGCACACCACGTGTGCCCAGCTAATATTTTTAAATTTTTGGTAGAGACGCGGTCTCACTATATTGCCCAGGCTGGTCTTGAACTCTTAGACTCAAGTAAATCCTCCCACCTCAGCCTCCTAAAATGTTGGGATTACAGACATGAGCCATTGTACCTGACCTAAAAATGATTTTATAACTTCATCAAACCCTTGATATAATCCAGAGGTTCTCAAACTTGTCTGCCCATTGGAATCGTGTGGGGAGCTTCAAAATATTCTGATGCCTCGTTATCACCCCAAGGGTGCTAATTTTATTGGTCTTGGTTAGAACTTGGGCTTTGGGATGGTGGGAAGACCCTCTGGATGATTCTAATGTACTGACAAGGTTGGTAGCCACTGGTAAAATTTAGTCTCCTCTCCAAACATTCCAAATCTCTACCCAAGGGTTGGTTGGTTTGTTTTTTATCTGTTTGTTTTGAGAGGGAATCTTGCTCTGTCACCCAGGCGGAAGTGCAGTGGTGTGATCTCAGCTCACTGCAACCTCTGCTTCCCATATTCAAGCCATCATCCTGCCTCAGCCTCCCAGGTAGCTGGGATTACAGGCACTCATCATCACGCCCAGCTAATTTTTATATTTTTAGTAGAGATGGGGTTTCCCCATGTTGGCCAGGCTGATCTCAAACTCCTAACCTCAAGTGATCTACCTGCCTCAGCCTCCCAAAGTGCTGGGATTATAGGCATGAGCCATTGTGACCAGCCTCTACCCAAGTGCTTTAAAATGTAGGTGTTATGCATTATTATTATTATTAAGGTTTTATCCTTATTCAGCTATGACAAGGCCAACAGATCAGGAGATGACTGTCGTTGGAGAGATAGTTCATTACTCACAGTTCCTGATAGTTTATTACTCACAGCTCAACAGGAGGCTGCGGTGAGCCATGCTATGTGATTATATGGGGAAGCTCCAGGGTTGGTCAGGAGGCAGAGGGAGTGAGAGGAAAGCATGAAAAAACCCTTTCTTATCTATTTATTTTTTTCTATTTTGGGAACTAATGGGCAAGGTAGGGTAAGCTGGTTTAAGACTGGCCAGTTTGTACAATTTCCATGGGCTGTGGTCTGCAGGGACTGTCCCTAGAAAGCTGCTAATCGATTCTGGGGGCATTAGGGCAAAGAGAGAGTGGCCCCACATATGAAAATCTCATAAAGGTGATGGTTGGGGGTGTGGGCTCTGGACTGATTGGTTTATCTATGAAAGTTACACTCCCAGGTGACATGTTTGTTATCTCTAAGAATTGGCTGGCATTGGGAGGGCCAGTCCTGCCAAGGTCAGCAAAGCCCTGAGATGTCAAAGCATCAGAATATAAACCTGCCTGGGCACGGTGGCTCACACCAGTAATCCCAGCACTCTGGGAGGTCAAGAAGGGAGGATCTTTTGAGCCCGGCACTTCAAGACCACAATGGGCAAGATGGAGACAGCCCTCTTATCTCTCAAAAAAATCTATTAAAAATCTGAATTTAAAAGCTAAAAGCTGTGATTAATGCACCAGGCTGGACCCTAGTGCAGCTGTAAAGAGAGACTAACCTGATCGAATAGGGTACCTGCCCGTGAGGAAGGCTGCTCTGCTTGGGGTACACAAAGACGCGGCAGACACGTGCTGGGTCAGCTTCACGCCGAACTCTGCAAGGTGGTCAATATTTGGAGTCCTATGGAGGGACAAAGTAACACCTTTACTTGTTAAAATTAGACAGGTTTTTCCTACGCATAGCTACACGGTACTTCATAGCTGATCATGCTGAGTGCTTCAAAATGTTCTTAGGAATGACCCGAAGACAATGTCAAGGATTTCTAATGTCTTCTGAACCTTCAGAGAAACAACAACTCATTTAAATAGGAGAGCCTGGGCATGGTGGCTCATGCCTGCAATCCCAGCCCTTTGGAAGGCCAAGATGGGAGGACTGTTTGGGGCCAAGGGTTCAAGACCAGACTGGCCCACATGGCAAGACCCTGTCTCTACAAACACACACACACACACACACACACACACACACACACACACACACACACAAAACTTACAAAAATAGAAACATTAAGGCATAGCGGTGCAGGTCTGTAGAACCAACTACTCAGGAGGCTGAGGAAGGAGGATCGCTTGACCTCAGGAGTTCAAGGCTGCAGTGAGCTGTGATTACAACACTGTACTTCAGCCTGGGTGACAGATAAAGCCCTGTCTCTAAAATAAATAAATGAATGAATAAATGGAGTGACTAGGTTTCCACGAGGCGCTATTGGTACTGAGAGAACAACCTCAGGAAATGCAGAACGGAGAGCCCAGGCACCTTCTGCGGGCCTCACAGTGTTCATGGGAAGGCTTGACTTCATGGATACCAACAGACTGTAGGTGCTACATGAGGGTGGAAGGCTGGGATTCGGACAGGAGGATGGACTAGCTCTAGCTCATGACAGATGGGCACGCCATATTTTGGCATTAGGAGGGTGTGGACTTGTCTGCCTGAAGCAGAGCTTTTCAGCAGGGGAGCACTGAAATCCCGCACGAGTGCTGCGCTTGGCTAGATGGATAGTTTAGGAGTGAGATGGAGATCCATACTGGTGTTCTGCTTACAGGCAATGGCACTGATTTCTTCTGTTTGTTTGTTTGTTTGTATTTTGCGACTGAGTCTTACTCTGTCACCCAGGCTGGAGTGCAGTAGTGCTATCTGAGGCTCACTGCAACCTCCACATCCCAGGTTCAAGAGAGTCTCCTGCCTCAGCCTCCCAAGTAGCTGGGATTACAGGTGCCCTCATCACATCCAGCTAATTTTTGTATTTTTAGGAGAGACAGGGTTTCACTCTGTTGGCCAGGCTAGTCTCCAACTCCTGACCTCCGAGTGATCCGCCTGCCTTGGCCTCCCAAAGTTCTGGGATTACAGGTGGGAGCCACCATGCCCGGCCTGTTTGCTTTTTGAAACAGGGTCTCATTCTGTTGTCCAGAGCGCAGTGGCCTGATCACAGCTCACTGCAACCTCAAACTCCTGGGCTCAAGCAATCCTCCCGCACCTCAACCTTTTGAATAGCTAGGATTACAGGTGTATGCATCCATGCCTGGCTAAGTTGTTTTGAATTTAAAAATTAATGTTTCTATTTTGTAGAGTCAGGATTTCACTATGTTGCCCAGGCTGGTCTTGAACTCCTGGACTTAAGTGATCCTCCTGCCCCAGCCTCCCAAAGGACTGAGATTACAGGCATGAGACACCATGCCTGATTGACAGCAGAGATTTCTAAAGCATTGTTCATCATGTACTGGGTGGATAAAAATCATATTTAAAAAATGAAATTAGGCCGGGTACAGTAGCTCACACCTGTAATCCCAGCACTTTGGGAGGCTGAAGCAGGTGGATCACTTGAGGCCAGGAGTTCGAGATCAGCCTGGCCAACATGGTGAAACCCTGTCTCTACCAAAAATATAAAAATTAACCAGGTATAGTGGTGGGAAACTGTAATCCCAGCTACTCGGAGGCTGAGGCAGGAGAATCTCTGGAATCCGGGAGGTGGAGGTTGCAGTGAGCCAAGATCACATCACTGCACTCCAGCCTGGGCAAGAGTGAGACTCTGTCTCAAAAAAAAAGAGGCTGGGTATGGTGGCTCGCACCTGCGATACCAGCACTTTGGGAGGCTGAGGCGTGTGGATCACTTGAGCCCAGAAGTTCCAGAGCAGGCTGGGCAACATAGCAAAACCCCGCCTTTACAAGAAATTTAAAAATGACCCAGGCATGATGGTGGACACCCGCAGTCCCAGATACTCGGGAGGCTGGGGCAGGAGGATCACTGGAACCCCGGAGGTTGATGCTGCAGTGAGCTCTAATTGTACCAGAGCAATCCAGGCTGGACCACAGAGCAAGACTGTGTCTCAGAAAAAAAAAAATAATAATAAAAATGAAATGAGCAGTCGTGTGTAGGATGGATTGAAGTGGGGTTAGTGCTGGCAAGGGACGAAAGCAGCACTGGAGCGAAAACACGGAAGTGCTGCAGCATGAGCTGCCAGGATCACGGGCTGTGCGTATCTTCGGGGGCCTCTATTTCTTCTGGTGTCTGCCTTGGGGGCACCAGGGAAGTCTTTCTCTGTCACTTGCCTCATGGTGTTGTTGCCATAGCAGCCGATGTCCCCGATGCCAAGGTCGTCGGCCATCAGAAGAAGAATGTTCGGCCGGGAGGCGGAAACGTCGCTGGAAGCTGAAGGCGCCAAACTTAGCAGCACGCCGAGCATCCCGGCTAGCCAGCCCCTGAAGCACAAGCTGTCAGAGACTGCGTCACGCGCCTGTCCACCTCGCTTGCAGAACTTGTGTGAGAGGGGAGTTGGCCTCACTATTTTAAGGGGTATAGATATTATCATCACAGTTCAGACCAGCTTTCAGGAAATCTCTTAGGCATTTGATTGTTTTTCTCTGGTTACAGTTAACTGATACTGTTGATGGTTTTATTTGGCCTGTAAGTGTTTTCTTTTGGAAGCTCTAAAGTCTGTTGTTAAGTGATTAAACTCCTGATTAACAGGAAGCCTTGGTGGAGTGCAGTGGCTCATGCCGTAATCTCAGTACTTTCTGAGGCCGTAGCTGGTGGATTGCTTTAGCTCAAGAGTTGAAGACCAGCCTGCACCACGTGGTGAAAACTCATCCCAGATTAGCTGGGCATGGTGGCACGTGTCTGTAGTCCCAACTACTGGGAAGGCTTGAGCCTGGGAGGGTGAGGCTGCAGCGAGCTGAGATCGCGCCACTGCCCGGCAACAGAGCAAGGCTGTCTCAAAACAACAACAGCAACAATAAAAAGCAAAAACACAGAGAAAACCTGCCTAGCCATGGTTTCCTGGATGGATCGAGTCCCCAGAACAGCTATTGCCCCTTCTCCATTGCCTCTTCTCCTTCATCATTCTTCCTTAAGCAAACTGTGTTGAATTTACGGACGGGGGGCTGGGGTTAGGGGTTGGACTAACCAGCAGAGCAAGGAAGAGGCATAGCTTGGGGCAAGGTGAGGCCACAGTGAGCTGCTGCCTCTGAGTCTATGTAAACCCTCTGTTCGTTCTGGCACACAGATGAAAATACCCAGGACTAACTTTTTTGGCCCACTGGTACCTGATGACAAGTGGGTTTGGAGGTGACACAGGTCCCAGCCTGCAGGAGAAAGCCCCGGTGGTTGCGACCATGAGGCAGCCTTGGCACAGGGGTTGGTGACATACAGCCTGACACCATCATTGCTACCTCTCTCCTCGAGGCCATCCTGGGCATGCACAGGGACAGCAGGGCCATCGTGTTCCAGTCCCCAGTGCCACGCAGTAAAGATATGATCGGAATCTCCAAGAAGGTTTGCAGTAGGGAAAACCAGACACCTGGCACACGGTAGAGGTTGATGCCCACCTGACTTGCAAAGAATGAAATAAAATTCCTTCTGAGGCTGCCTGGGACAACGCCAAGTCAAGGAAGCATGGAGCACATCTGTTAATCACGAGTCTCATGCTTCATTCTCCAGATGCAGGATCAATCACTATCAGTGCTTTCTGAGAAAGCACCATCAAGAGACGCAGAAGCAGTCAGGTGTGGTGGCGCACGCCTGTTATCCCATCATTTTGGGAGGCCAAGGTGCGAGGATTGAGTAAGCCCGGAGAAAGAAAGAAAGAAATATAATTCTATCTTACCAAGAACGCTGCAGATGTGACATGTTGTCTCTGTCTCTACTTCCTGTAAGACATAAAGATGTCCACAATCACACTGACAGCAGAAATTGAACTGATTATAAGAGACACAGTACATGATTAGAACGGGGAACTTTGATTCCCGCTCATGAAATCAATAGCAAAAATATCTTAAAACAATGACCAAAATCTCGTAAAGGAATGCTCTTCCCTAGTGAAAAGCTTCAAAAATGTTTAACACCGTGTTAAGAATGTAAACCATGTTTCAATGAACAGCCAGATGGAGTCTTCAGAGAAAGAGGAAGAGGGTGTGGTGTCCAGGTCTGCATCCCTTTACCAGCTTTCATCGCCCGTGAGTGGCATTGTCAGGGCAGAGGACTGCAAAGTGAGGAGAGAATCCCAGTGTCCAGAAGCACATTCTTTTGTCTTTTGATTCCTGAGCCCGGGGCAGGGCTGATTTCTAATGTCCAGAAACGCAAATGGAGTCCTGATTTGGAAGTGGGAAGCGGGGAAAGATCGAAGCTTGGATGATACACGAGAGAACCTGAGTAGAGCGAATGCAGATCAGCAATACAACGATCTGAGAATAGAGTCGGGGGTGTCAGTCTGAAGGAACGAGGCCTGGGCGCTGAGTGTTGCATGAAGGAGACACGCATTCACGGTCTTTGGAAGGGTGGAAACCTTCAGTCCACAGAGGGAAACAGGCGACTCCCAAAGCACAGAGGGGCGGCCCCTCAGTCTCTCCAAGAAGGGAGGGAGAGCCCAGAGTGCAGAGCAGGAAAGGGATGGGATGGATGATGAACGATTAAGAGTTCCAAGCAGCAAGAGGCCACCTTCAGGGCACTGCAGTGGTCTGACCACACTGTGTCCGTGCATGGACTGAGGACAAAGCTCTGATTTTTTTTTTTTGTATCTTGCCCAAGTTCCTATGTAAGGGGTCTGGAGACTTACGCCCTACACACCATAAATTCTCATCAGATGGATTTCATTTAACCCTGTATATCGTGACTTACTTTCCAATCTGACTCTGGCGTAACATGGGACAAATAAGGAAGTCGAAACATACCCCAAAATATGTTTTTTTTGGCCATATTTTGAAATGGCCCTGCAAAGCCCTCCTTGGGGGGTGGGGGGAAATTTGCATCTTTAGAGAATCTCTATTCACACAGCTAGATCTTTTCCTTCCTAATCCTGAAGAGATTACCTGAGAGTCTGGCACCTTTTAAAGGGTCTGAATAGGAAACACTTGTCATCTATTGTTCTAAGGACAGCCTATAAGACTTCAAAAGAAGCTTGGCGTCCCCACTCTTTATTTTAACCTGAACATTTCTTTTCTATGGATCCCAGGTCTTTAGATGAACTCAGCCAATTGTCAACCAGGAAGTGTTGAAATCTCCGTGTAAGCTGGAAGTGCCCTGGCTTTGAGTCGTCCCGCCTTTCTGGACCAAACCAGTGTATTTCTTAAATGTACTCTATTGATGTCTCATGCCTCCCTAAAATGTATAAAACCAAGCTGCACCCTGTCCACCTTGGGCACATGTTCTCAGGACCTCCTGAGGGCTGTGACATGGGCCATGGTCACTTGTATTTGGCTCAGAATAAATCTCTTCAAATAGTCTACGGAGTTCACTTCTTTTCATCAACAGGACGAGGGACTGCGTAGAAGACAAAGAGACAGGAGCATGCTGATGTGGTGGGTTTCTGCCTCGGAGTAACCCTGGAAGCGACCTGGCCACCTTTTTAGAACGGCCCAGCAGCCAGCAGGCACTGAGCGCACAGAAGTGGCCGTGGTGGCTGTCCAGGTGACCAAGGACAGACACAGCCAGTGTGGGTGCAGGGAGGGCAGAGAGGAGGGGTGGGTAAGGTCCGCAGGGCTGCAGAGCCCCAGGGTGTGACCGGGAGAGAAGCGATTGGTTGAGAGATTTCCGTTTACTCCTAGCAGAATTCAGGGGCAAAACCAGTCTTCTGAGAAAGACAATGAGCTTTGTGAAAGGAAAATAAATCTTGGGGTCCCCAGATCACTAAGCTAAAGGGACAAGTCAAGGTGGGAACTGCTCAGGGCCGACCTGCCTCCCTTTTATTCAAAGTCAGCCCTCAGCCCACTGAGATAGATGCAAATCTGACCGCCTCCTTTAGAAAGGCTCATCAGAAACTCAAAAGAATGCAAGTGTTCCTCTCTCGCCTGTGACCTGGAAGCCCCCTCCCGGCTTAGAGGCTTCCGGCTTTTGCTTCGAGTTATCCCGCTTTTCTAGACCGAACCAATGTACTTCTGACATATTTTGATTGATGTCTCATTATCTTCCTAAAATGTATAAACCCGGGTTTTGTCCCGACTCCCTTGGGTGCAAGTCGTCAGGACCTCCTGTGGCTGCATCACGGAAGCATCCTCAACCTTGACAAAAATCAACTTTCTAAATTAACCTGGAGCTGTCTCGGATATTTTTGGGTTCACGGCTTTAATAACAAAGTGAAAAATGCCGATCACAGGTCATGATAAAAGAAGACAAAGCCACAAACGCTATGCAAACGGGAAAAACAAAGATCAAGTAAACTGTCCCGAGATTTATTTGCGGTGGGCTGCGAAGAGAGATTTGGTGTCTTCAGATGTCAAATGAGCTTCAAGGAAAATGCATTCTTGCGATGATCTAAAACAGATATTGTGCTAAAAAACATAATGAGCATGTATTGATTTAGTCCACATATAACTTTAATGAAAGCAAAACGAAGAGACAGAGAAAAAGGCAGAAAAAGAAAGAAACAGAGAGAAAGACAAAGGCAGAGACAGACAGAAAGATGACAAGAAACATGGAAAGAGAGCAAGAAAGAGAAGAAAACCTTCCAGATCGTAATCATTGACAGCTCAAATAGAAGGAATACAAAGAGAAATATTTCTAGAAATACAAATAAGCTAGATACCAAAAAGCACTGAATAAAAACCAACGTCCCTTTCCTGATAAAAACTCTCAAGAACCTGGGTATACAAGGAACATACCCCAACACAACAAAAGCCACATACGACAAACCCACAGCCAGTATCATACTGAACAAGGAAATCTCAAAGCCTTTCCTCTAAGATCTGAAACAAGCCAAGGATGACCGGTTTCCCCACTTTTATCCAACAGAGCACTAGAAGTCCTAGCCAGAGTCGTCAGGTCACAGAAAGATATGAAAGACTCTAAATGGCAAAGGAAGAAGTCAAGTTATCTTTGTAGGCGATACGATCTTATATTTAGAAAAAAAAAACTCTAGAGACTCCAGAAAACAAAAATGCTACTGGAACAGATCAACACTTTCAGTAAAGTTGAAAGATACAAAACCAACATAGAAAAAGCAGTATTTCTCTCTCTATGCCAACAGCAAACATTCTAAAGTAAGAATAAATTAGTTAAACTGATTAAATAAAGCAAGAGGAGGCTGGGCCCAGAGGCTCTCGCCTGTCACCCCAGCACTCTGGGAGGCTGAAGGAGGCGGGTCACTTGAGCCCAGGACTTTGAGACCTGCCGGGCAACATATCGAGACCTCACCTCAATTTAAAATAAAGATTAAATTTTTTTTAAAAAAGACAGGAGGAAATAACACTGAATTGCGACATTTCCAATAATTTTCTGTCTGTTGAAGACAAAAAGACGGAAGATATCACCCGTGCTCTGCCGCTGAGGTGTTTTGTCTGTTCATTTGTTTTACCCTAGCAGGTGTACACAATTCTAATATTATAAAAGTAATAGCAAAAGACGGAATTACTTTTGTACCAACCCGATAGCATCTTCACCGGGAAAGAGATTGATGTAACATTGCACCTGGAGAGAAAGCCGAAGTGAGCATTTGAATGCACGCAGCTTTGCTTTCTGGCCTACAGTGACACACTGCCGATGCTCAGAAAACAATCAATGAAAGGAAAACACTGTACAAATAGATGTGATGAGGAAACCCCAAACCACCACAAAACAGGCGAAGTTGGTTGGCAGCGATCCTGCCCAGCAACGGTTTCTCTCTGCATCTCTGGGTGTGGAGATTTAGGAAACGTGTTCTTTTTCTACTTTTTCTTTCTTTCTTTCTTTTTTTTTTTTTCTGAGATAAGGTCTTGCTGTGTCACCCAGGCTGAAGAGCAGTGGTGCAACCAGAGCTCACTGCCCCCTCAAATTCACGGGCTCAAGCGATCCTCCCACTTCAGACTCCCAGGTAGCTGAAACTACAGGCACACGTCACTATGCCTGGCTATTGTTTTTTGTTTGGTTGGTATTTTTGTTTTTCATTAAGTAGAGGTGGGGTTCCGTCTCTTGCTCAGGCTGGTCTCAAACTCCTGGGCTCCAGCGATCCACCCGCCTCGACCTCCCAAAGTGCTGGGTTTACAGTGAGCCACCGAGCCGGCCTAATTTTTCTTTCCCCCACAATGATATGTATTTATAAGTAAAAAGATGAATTTTTTTCTTGGAGGAAAAAGACGAATAAAGACATGCTGATAAAAGCCTTGAATGAGTTTAATTTTGGAAACTGTCACACTGAGGTGACCCAGAGTGCGGGGCCCACAGCCTCTCGTGCAGATTAGAAAACAGATCCCCCTTCCCCAGCAAAGAGCTACATTCCTAGGCCTGTAAGTCACAGGCACTTTTCTGCTTTATAAAAACAAACTGGGCAATATTCCGAGACAGAAAAAGGGAATGTGAAACTCTCTGTTCACCACAATACCTTCACGCCTGGGCACAGAGTCTAATTCCAGCACAAATGAACATCACAGGGCTCACCTCTGCTCCTGGCTTCCCTCCTGAATCCCCGAGCACGAACGGGAAGGCTTCTCCCAAAGGAAGCAAGCTCGTGAAGGCGGAGAGCTGGCACAGGCTTTGGGCTGGGAATGATTGGCTCTGTCTGCTTTTCCCGAGTCAGAAGGAGATCAGAGTTAGGGCCGACAGCGGGAGCACAGGCTCCTCCGACATCCCAGCATGGGGGATCTCAAAGCCACGCCTACATCCACCAAACCAGTGGTGAGTCGCCTTAGGTTTTTTTTTCTTTTTTCTTTTTTGTAGAGACGGAGTTTCCCCATGTTGTCTC